TTTCTGGTGGAAAAGTATTCTGTAACCATCATTGTGCAAAGTTTTTACAAGACAAGTGACGAATGCATCCGGTCAGTTATTAATAGATTAGTTGGAGAATGCTTATGAGCATTTGTTACTAGATTTAATGATCAGTCCGGTTCAAGGTATTTGGAAGACAGGTGACAAATACTTATTTGTGAGTGTGAGTGTGTGTGTGCGTTTTGTGGGTGGTGGTTAACTCCGGAAAAGCCAATGACTTGCCCAGCTTATATTATTATATATTATAGTTCTTTAAGTGTTTAACGAACGACTTTGCTAGATCTTAACATCTGTTTTTTTCTACCATCAAAGATTGCAAGATGGTCTTCCAAAATACGTTTGAAAGACATGCAAAAATGGTACTTCACGATGCAAGTACAATGTATCAGGGTACACAAGCACCTATTTTGTTACCGGTATGCAAAGTTCAAAACACAAGATAATACTTAATGTTTAAATTTGATTGTGATGTTTGGTGCGTTTCAACGAAGCATTGGCATTTAAATGGGAACTAATTGTGGTCCTCTGCTGACCTTTTTTTTTCTTTACTCCTATGAGGCAAAATTTGTAATAACAGATTCAGGGAGAAAATCATTCATTCTCAACTATATGGGTGATATACTTTTTATTGACAATCATTCCATTAATAGTTATCTTTATTTGATATATTTACCTGAATTTGAGTTAAACAAACCACAGACTGTACAGCAAACGAAATGACTTTTATTTTACCTTCATCAAATTCTTCAATCTTTGTAGTAAGAACCTTCTTTCTCCTGCATATGGTATACATTTCGCAAGTAAGTCGATATTCTAGAGCTTACACAGGGTGGGATGAATATGAGAAACATTATAGGCATCTGTCATCCAAGCTGCTAAGTCAAGTTTGTTTTTATAACTTATTATCTTATTATCTCAACATTCAAACGTTTCTATGTCAGATATTATAAGCTGGTAAAACAATACAACGAATCAACTAAGTTGATGATCTCTGATTGTTTCAGCTTCATTTGTTTTACGTAGAAAGTTCCTTCATGAATAGGCTACTCTGATTTATATACGGCATGATATGTCTTCACTTCACTTTATCATAATATTGAGGTCCATATATCATTCATCTGTACACTAATAGAGAAGAATATGTGCACTACTGTTAGAGCCGTGAATGCTTACCTATGACGCAAAATCACATAACCTATAATATTATACATTTCAGAAGAATGATACTGAGCTGAGAAATATTGTTTGGCCAGTAGTATCTATCATACAGTTGTGTTTAATCAAGGCGTTGCGAATGTTACAATGACTGGCAATACATATTGAAATTAATAATTGTTACGTTATTTCGATGACTTTTCTTTTTTATATTGACTTGAAGTTGAAATAAATCATAAAACACTGTAACCAAATGCCTTCATATATAAGGTGTACTGCTATTTGCAGGCACAGAATATTGTAATTTTAATAAATTCAAGTTTATTGAATGATCAAATTGGTTTCATTCTTGTATTTATTTTTCCGGTGTCTCTCAACAAAATGTATTTTATTCAACGATAGAGACATATTGTAAGTTTTAGCATTTTTTTTTTAAATTGCCACATAATTTATGATTTTGACAAATTAACTTTTCATTTGTTTTCAGTACCAAATATTTTAGGCAGAAAAACTGCCAAGAAAATCATTATTTCATTTAAAATGATTATAACAAAGTGTTAATAATTCTTTACTACCATAATTACCAATCATATAACTATATTTGTTTGTTTTAATTATTGACAACTAAACGGAAGCTGTGAGAGCTTTCTACCATGGGCCTCAAAATTACCATTTACATGGATATTTGATTCTGTTTTGTGCGAAAAGTTGTTTTGTGACTGTATCGTTTCTTCTTTGTTTAGTGGACATCAGCATACAATAAAACCACAGTGAAAACGTCGAGGAAATCTGATCATTGATGTTAATGCTACCTAACTTCCATAACTGTTTAATATGGGTCACTGCGAATAAATGTATGTATACATTTTAGGATGAATTGGTGACATAAATATTGAACTGTATGTCCTTACAGGTTGCTGTCAACGGTCAGCATTACATTACGTACAAACACCGTGTCAGACCTCTGAAGAAGATCGACTATCTTGGTATCATTGGTGACGTCATAATCACATCTGTGAAGTTCCAGGATGAACAGGTACGCGGCAAAAAATAGTAACCTATCACCTATGACATTTTATATAAAGCATTTGTTTAATATGACACAGTAAGTTCAGCCTTAGCATTTTTTGAATTCTATCAGTTACAAAACATTATCTATCATGAATACTGATATACCTAATATAATTATAAATCTGTGTTTAACTTAATTGGGATTATAACTAACGTTTGTGTGATGTTTTATTTTTGAGTTGCAGTAGATAAGACTTACGTAGCTGCCACCCCAATAGGACCCATTGTCAACATGTAAGTATAATTATGTTTACTGGAAACAGTGATAGATTTGTGTTGTCATTGATGTGAACCTTGAAGTTCAGGCTCGCTCATTAAACGCCGAATTGCTTACCAGCAAGTTAATACTAATTTAATACACTTTGGTGGCGATGTTCGTATAAACCAGATACGATATCAATAAGTAGACCTGTTATTTTAATTTGTATATTTTACAATTCTTTACTTTTTTCAACAGAGCGGTCGAAGTGAATGTGAATGTACAGTGCGCCTGGTATCGGCAGATGTCTGGTTCTTATGATGTTTTTATACTAATACTTAAAATCAAGTATATTGTTTTCGATTCTTAGTTTAAATAACATATTGGCATAGCCGATATATTTATATTCCACGCCATTTTATTTTAACAAATAAAGTTACCGGGTCCTATCTCTGGTATACTTTGACCAATCGCATTTAAGCACATGCACAAAACAGCATATCATACATAGGCACAATCATCCATCCTGTGCGTATATGTTTGAGTCTGTATGTCTTTCTAAAGTAACATGTATTTTTATAAGGTAAATCACATGATCCAAATTGATACATCACATGACTCAAAACACCTTTTATGATAGCATAACATGATCAGTAGCAAATAATTCACAAGTTTTCAGCAGTTTTCAGAGCCCTTAACCGGGCGAATTTGGATTGGATCAATATTTGTATAATGGTCATACATATTGGATTACAGGTGCACATCCATTATTGTAATTCAGCCAAATATGGCCATATTCGATTTTATGGTGTACATGCCAGTTCCTTTTCAATGCATGTTTAGGGTTAGGGTTAATACCGATAGAATACAAAGAGATACATCTGTGTCTACGAAAATGCTAAACTGATACTGTAACAATATATGATATGCAATGACCTGATATAATGACAAAACAAATCGATTATTATTTCTAAAACATACTTTAATTGCCCTTTAGTTGCTTTACTTTCACTTGTGATGTTTGTTTTCATTATTTAGAAAAGTGGCAGGAAGTGTGTCGTTTTCAATGATTATTTTCAATGTATATGGTCACAAGCTTTAACTCAGTGGAAAGTGCGTTATCTCATTGCTTTATGTGCGACCTATGAATTCAAACTCCGTCTTTAAGTTGATGGTTTTATATCACAGCGTAACATGGCCATGATTTCTTCTTTGACTTGAACAAAGGACATTGCTATAAACTAGTAAAACAGCATTGCAGTCAACTAGTAAAACGGCATGGCAGTCAACTAGTAAAACGGCATTGTAGTGAACTAGTAAAACGGCATTGCAATCAACTAGTAAAACGGCATTGCAGTCAACTAGTAAAACGGCATTGCAATCAACTAGTAAAACGGCATTGCAGTCAGCCAGTGAAACGGCATTGCAATCAACTAGTAAAACTGCATTGCCTTCAACTAGTAAAAGGGCATTGCTGTCAACTAGTAAAACGGCATTGCAATCAACTAGTAAAACGGCATTGCAGTCAACTAGTAAAACGGCATTACACTCAACTAGTAAAACGGCATTGCAGTCAACTAATAAAACTGCATTGCAGTCAACTAGTAAAACGGCATTGCAGTCAACTAATAAAACTGCATTGCCTTCAACTAGTAAAAGGGCATTGCTGTCAACTAGTAAAACGGCGTT